CACACACACACACATGCCAAACACACAACAGTATATTGCTTTGTGGGCATAATTGTTTTAAAACTTTGTTCTGGGTCAGTTTTATATAATGTCTCCTTATCAACAGTATGATTAACAAAGAAAATTGAATTAACTGAAACACTTTATTTCCCTTAAGAGTGGAATTCCATAATTTGGTAGAAAGTCTCTCCTCACTTTTGTTAATCTCTTCTCTCATGTCCCAATCCCCATTTCTCACACTCAATCTCTCCCCCTCCCCCATATATTCTCTCACCTCTCTCTTTGTCTCTCTCTCTCTCTCTCTCTCTCTCTATTCCACTCAATCCCGTAATATTACGTTATTCGCTTATAATAATAATATGACATTTATATTATTGCGCTAATCCGTGTTGCAATCACTCTTCTATGAGCTTTACTTTTAAATTACATGTATTGATTATAGTATTCATGAGAGACATGCATACACACATCATGAGACATTAAAATTAAATACGGTACAAGCGGAACTTTTCCAGAAAAATTAATTACTGTGTCATTTTACCACTTTAACCGCACTGGTGTAATAAAAATTTGACTAGATCTACATGTCATGTAGCCCAGATATCTGCCAGTGTATAAAGTGCGAGATGACATATTGCTTGCCGCTCGAGGTCCGGTGTATGGCCACAATGCAGTGCTTACCGCTCGAAATTGCTTTAAGTGAATAGTGTTGTCGCCTGAGCATCCATGTCAATAGTAAAGTTATAACTTAAGCAGGTGAGGTGAACGAGTTTATATCTTGGCAGCACTTTTTTGTGAAAACGGCTCCATTATAGACAGAGTAAATAGAAACACGAACTCAAAAAGCCAACATCTTCACCTACCAGCTTGTACCCCTTCTATATCATCCAAACATCTCCATGGAAACAAAGAGACAACTTATTGTTTCAATGCTATACCAACCAGACCTGGACACTAGAAACCCAACGAAAACAAAATCACAAAGCGTGCAAGATGAAATGTCTCCGCAAAACCCTTGACCAGGGGCGGCTCGTGGCGCTAAAATGTGGTCGTGCACAATTAAGCAACAGCAGGTTGAAGATAGTCAAGGACATAGTAAATGGGACGGTAGGACCTTTGGGTTGGTGAAGGAAGACCTTATGCTTTTATTTTCATTCTTTTTACTGGTCGCTTTGATTTCTAGAACTAGATCTAAAGCTGTTTGTTAGCTAAACATCAATTTCTTTAGGGAGTGCTTATTTGAGCCACATATGGCCTAAATAAGATAAGGGAGGGGGGTTTAGCTTATTTAGGCCAGACATGCTCAAACTACCGGCGGACACCCTTTTCAGGCAACTGAGTTCGTTCCACTTTCATAGTGGTGCATCTTTCTCATTTAGTACAGTTTTGTCTCAGTGTACAACTTATAGAGCTATATAGTATATATCATAATGAATATTGTAAGAACAAAGCACGATACGCAAAGTTTTGCTCAATCCCAATGGTTTGAATGAGGGTCA